CTGTGTGTTTGTTAGGTTTGAGAAAAAGTCGAGAGGCCAGTGATGTTGGAGCAGAGTGAAGGAAGGGTGTGGTGGTAAGAAACATGGTCACAGCTTTCAGGAATATGATCACACTGGGCTCTGTGTAAAGTAAAGAATTTGGATTTTATTCATAAACTAATAGCAATCCCACCTCTCTCTCATCTGTCACTTTGTCATGCTGTGATAGCTTGTGTGTTGCTGTGATGCTGGAAGCTATGACACTGGTATTTTAAATACCAGCAGAGTCACCCATGGTGAACAGGTTTCACTGGAGCTTCCAGACAAAGACAGACTAGGGAGAAGGAGAGGCGAACTACTTCTGAGTGGTTAGCCACTGAAAACCTTATGAATAGAAGCAGAGCATTGTCTGATATACTGCTGAGAAAAGAGCCCATTACGTTGGAAGGAACTCAAAATAACAACTAAGGAAGAACTGCCTCCTCAAAGCCAGTGGATCTTAATGTCATGAATAAAGTACAGCTTTTGGGGTCTTCATTGATGATGGGGCACAGCTCAAAATGAGAAGAAACAGGTACAAAAATCTATTAATAATCAGAGCATGCAACTATGAAGTATGAATTTAGGAAATTTTTAAGTTGTCAAAAATGAAATGGAATACATAAAGATCATTATTTTAGGCATTGCATCCATTTGAACTGAAATGGACTGGTGTTGGCCATTTTGAATCTGACAGTCACGTGGTTTGCTATACCAGGAATGACAAATTGAAAAGGAATGGCATCACATTCATCATCAAAAAGAACATATCCTGGTCTGTCTGGAAGTACAACGCTGTCTGTGATACGATAAAATCCATGTGCCTACTAGGAAGACCCATCAATACAACTGTTACTCAAATTTACACACCAACCACTAAAGCCAGTGACGATGAAGCTCAAAATTTTTACCAACATCTTCAGTCTGAAATTGATCAAGCATGCAGTCAAGATGCATTGATAATTATTGGTGAATGAAATGTGAAAACAAAAAGGAAAGATCAGTAGCTGGAAAATACGATACTGACAATGATAGAAATGATGCTGAAAGCTGCATGATAAACTTTTGCAAGACCAATAACTTATTCATTGTAAATACCTTTTTTCAAAAAATATAAACTGCAATTCTATACATAGACCTCACCAGACGTAATACACAGGAGTCAGGCTGACTACATCTGTAGGAAGAGACGATGGAGAAGCTCATTATCACTGTTCAGAATAAGGCCTGTAGTAAAACAGAGGACAGACTATCAGTTGCTCATATGTAAGTTCAGGCTGAAGCTGAAGAAAATTAAAACAAGTCCACTAGAACTCAAATATGGATTTAGAGACCATCTCAAGAGCATATTTGATCCATAAGACACTAATGAAGACCAGAAGAGCTGTGGGATGACATGAAGAAATAAAAAGGTCATTAGAAAGGCTAGAAAGAAAGAAAAGACCAAATTAAATGTCAGAAGAGACGCTGAAACTTTCTCTTCAGTATGGTGGTGGTGATGTGCCATGTTTTCAGTTAACGACTCATAGTGATCCTGCATAGGGTTTCTGAAGCTGTAAATCTTCACTGGAACAGAAAGCCTCATCTTTCTGCTGGGAAATAGCTGGTAGTTTCAAACTGTTGACCTTGAGGTTAGCAGCCCAACTCATAACCACTATGCTACCAGAGCTCCTCTTGAGCATAGAGAAGCAAACGAAAATAGAAGAAATAAGGAAGTAAAAGCTGGACATTTTCAAAGGGATAGCTCAAGAAGGCAAAGTCAAGTATAATGAAATGTGCAAGGACCTGGAGTTAGAAAACCAAAAGGAAGGAACATGCTCTCAAGCATTTCTCTAGCCTTGGGTTGCCATGTTGAAGGATTCTATGGGCAAAATATTGCATGATGCAAGAAGCATCAGTAGAAGATGGAATGAACATAGTCATAATACAAGAAATAATTGGTCCCCATTCAGTCATTTCAATAGTTTAAAAAACTGATGCTATTGAAGGAAGAAATCCAAGTTGCACTGAAGGCATTGATGAATAGCAATGCTCCAGGAACTGACAGAATGCAAATTGAAATGTTTGAACAAACTGATGCAGTACTGGAGGCACTCACTCATATACACCAAAATATTTGGAGGACAGCTACTTGGCCAACCGATTGAAAGAGATCCATATTTGTGCCTATTCCAAAGAAAAGTGTCCCAATAGAATGTAGAAATCATCAAACAATATTATTAATATCACATGCAAATAAAATTTTGATGAAGGTAATTTAAAAAATGGTTGCAGCAGCATTTAAATAGGGAGCAGCTAAAAGTTCAAGCCAGATTCAGAAGAGGATGTAGAACAAGGGATATCAGTGATGACATCAGAATGATCTTGGCTAAGAGAACACCACAAATAAGTTTATTTGTGTTTTATTGACTATGCCAAGACTTAAACAATATGGATCAAACTATGAATAACACTGTTTGAATGGGAATTCCAGAACACTTAACTGTGCTTATGACCAACAGGCAGTCTTCAGAACAGAGCAAGATGATGTTGAATGGTTTAAAATCAGGAAAGATGTGTGCCAAAAATACTATCCTTTCTTCGTACTTAGTCAGTCTGTATGCTGAGCAAGTAATCTGAGTAGCTGGATTATATGAAGAAAATATGGCATCAGAAAGACTCACTAGCAAGCTGCAATAAGTAGATGATACAATCTTTCTTGCTGGAAGTCAAGAGGACTTAAAATACTGATAAAGGTCAAAGAATAAAGCTTTCAGTATGGATTGAACCTCAATGTAAAGAAAACGAAAATCTTCACAACTGGACTAACATATGCATCATGATAAACAGGGACAAGCTCGATGTTGTGAAAGACTTCCTTTTACCTGGATCCACAATCAATACTCAATGGATGCAATATTCAAGAAGTCAAATGAAGTATTGCATTGAGCAAATCTGCTGCATCAGACCTCTTTAAAGTGTTCGAGAGCAAAAATTTCAGTTTGAGGGCCAAGGTGCACTTGACCCAAGCCAGGTATTTTCAGTTGCCTCATATGCATGTGAAAGTTAGACAATGAATACGGATGACCATAGAAAATCAATGCATTTGAATTATGGTTTTGGAGAAGAATATCGAAAATACCATAGACTGCCAGAAGAACCAATAAATCTGCCTTGAAGAATTACAGTCCTTGGAGAAGGTCATCATGCTTGGAAAAGTGGAGGGTCTGAGGAAAAGAGGAAGACTCAATAAGATGAATTGATACAATGGCAGCAGCAGTGAGCTCAAACATAACAACAGCTGTGAGGATGGCACAGGACCATGAAGTTGATCATGAATATTAGTGATGAAAGTGGTGCAAAGTGATCAGATTAAAGGTAGATTTTTGAAGGTAGTGTTGACAGAATTTGCAGGTGGATTAGATACAGTTTATGAGAGAGAGAGAGTGAAGAGTGGCTCCAGGGTTTCAGACTGAGTGAATAGTGGGCCATTTAATGAGGTGGGAAACACTGGGAGAAGAACAAGTTTGAGAAGGCCAAGACTTCTAGCCATGTACTGTATGAGTGTTATTAGACATAGAAGTACAGCTCCTCAATGAGTAGTTGTTACTTGAAATCATAGGACGAAATGTATAAGATCGTTTAGAGGCAGTGAAGAGATTACATGTAATGATCAGGAAGAAGGGAAGCATCCCACAAGAGACTGAGAAGGAGTCTGGCCAGATATGATGGTGAAGGATAAGGAGAGTATGATACCTCAAAAGCAAGTAAAGAAAATGTTTCATGAAGGTAGTGGCCAATGGTATTGAAATCTGTTGGAATGTTGAATACTCATAAGGTGAACACTTGGAATTGACTATTAGATTTGTCTTTATGGAAATTGTTGAGGAGTAATCCTTTAAGAAGACATGGGGGTTAAAGTCTGGTTGAAAATGGATTAAGAGAATGGGAAACAAATAAATACATCAAATTTAAACAACTCTTTTGAGGATTTTTGGCATAAAGGACTGCAAAAAAAAAATCTGGCAATATCTAGAAGAGGTGTGGAGTCAAACGTGCACATTTCTTTATTAAATAACCACATAGTTTGTCATTTCTGCCCAAAGATTGAACTCAGAATACAATCTGAATTGTTGTTGCTTAATTTTGTCTTAAGGGTCAAATTGTTATCCTGTTATTGTTGTTGAGGGGGAAAGGCCAATTTTAATTTTTACTTCTAAAATTAGGGAATGACAAGTTAAGAGCCAAACCACTGAGAATCATTGCTCAGTCACAACTTGTAAGGTTGTTATATCCTTAGTGATAGTATACATAGCGATCCCAGCATGGAGTTTGTAATGTTGTAGGGACTTGATAAGTGGTTGCTCTTATTACAGCATTGTTATTAAGGAAAACCATTGGTCAACTGGGAGTCCTGGTGTGGCACAGTAGGATAAGCACTGGACTGCTTACCATAAAGTCGGTAATTCAAACCCACCAGCAGTTCTTTGGAAGCCCTATATAGGTTTACTTTGAGTTGAAACAACTGACCTACTGGAGAGTGTGGTGGCTCTATGATAAGCACTGGACTGCAAACCACAAAGTCATAGCTGCTCCTTAGGCAAAAGATGAGACTTTCTGCTCCCACAATCCCTATACAGGGTCACTACAGAGTTGGAGCCCTAGTGGGGCACTGTGAGATAAAGCACTGGACCACAAGGTCAGTTTGAACCATAAGGTTGGTGATTCAAACATAACAGCTGCTCCTTGGAAACCCTATACAGGATCGCTATGAGTCAGAACCGACTTAACATCAACAACAACAGAGTTGGAACAGTCAATAGCAATTAACAGCAACTAGTAAAAGCTAACAAAATAATCAACTGAAAATAGCTAACAGATAAATCTGTTAATGTATTTTAGATAATCTGGTATATACTGGGGAGATCAAAGAGATTTAAAAAAAAAAAAAAAGAAGTTACTACCTTTCAAGATTAAATGATATTTTCTTTTGTTTATTTTAGTGGGGATCAGCAGTGTACTTATGTTATAAAAAATCGGTGGCAAAGACTAACACTATATCTTACAAAGCTGGTAAGTATGTTTTAATTTTTATGAAATATTTAAGATGTAGATGTGGCCCAGTAAAGTAAAAGAGGCAAAAAAAAAAAAAAAAAAAAAGCCTGTTTTATTATGTTTTAATGTCAGAACTGATAATTAGAACCCATCCCATGCCTCTTATTCTCAGTTTTGTCTTCATATATACATTTATTGCATGATTATTGGAAGATTAATTTTAAAAGATGGATGTAAGCATTAGTTTAAGTAAATAACTTAAATAGATGTCAATTCTCTTTTAAGCTTTTTAATCAGTAGATAGTCTTGGAAAAAGATTGTTATTTTCTCTTTTGATTGGTGTTGCTTTAATAGTTATATTAAATACAGTTAAATCTGTAGTTCATATGTAATTGTGTTTCATAATTGTTGTTAAGTGCCATTGAGTCAGTTCTGACTCACAGTGACCCTATAAGCGTTTACAAGGTGTGGCTGAATGAGTTTGAACCACCAACCTTGTGCTTAGCCGTCCAGTGCTTATTTTTCAGTGGCACACCAGGACGTCTTCTGTAGTTCATAATAGTGTGAAATAATATAAACTAATCTGTGATTTTATAATGGATAGTTGAAGTTTCCAAGTTGTAGAGACCTCAGAATATCAAATGTACTGACCTTTTAGGAGAGCAGGTACAGATTCAGCTTTTGAAAAATGCATCTTGATTTAATGTATTTTATTTCAGTTGTTGCTGAGACTATATGCAGCAAAACATACACAAGTTCCACAATTTTACATCTACAATTCAGTGACAGTAATTACATTCTTCAAATTATACAACTATTCTCGCTTACTGTTTCCTAGTTGTTACTACCCAATTAACATAAATACATATTTTAAAAATCAATATTTTCAACTTAACTTTTCTACTACTTTTGATCTTTTAGAACCTACAATTCATCACTATTTCTATACTTAATGACTTTACTGTTACCTGAAAAATAGTATTACTATTTCAGCTTATTATCTAAGAGTATTTGTTGTTATTGTTAAGTGCCATCAAGTGGGTTCCAACTTATACTGGCCCTGTATAAGCTTTCCTAGGTGTAGCTGGTGAGTTTGAACTGCCAACCATGTAGTTCACAGTCCAGTGCTGACCCACAGCACCACACCAGAAGTCCATCTAAAAGTGTAATAGATGACTCCAGAGATGGAGGCAGAGACGATGACATGGAGAGATGGAGCAGCTGGGAACTGGGGACTCTAGACCCATAGAGGGACAGGGGCTGTGTGCTGACAACTGGGGGTCAGGCTTACAGGGTATACCCTTGGTTGTTTGATGATGCATGGAGGGGTTTGTAACCATGGCAATGAAATGATATATGATAGGATGAATGTAAAGCTAATGTTCTCCCATGTAAACTATCACATAATTCACAATAAAACATTTTAAAAAAGTATAATAGATAGCTTATTGTAGATTTTGGGAGTCCTGGTGTGGTGCTATACAATAAGCATTGGACCATAATGTCAGTTTAAACCTCAAGGACAGTGGTTCAAACCCACCAACCACTTCACGGAAACCCTGTGCAGGGTCGCTATGAGTTGGAGCCAGCTTGATGGCACTTAACAACATCTGTCTGACTAGCCTATAATTAAAAAATTTTAGAGCCCCTTGGACCTTAGTTTGGCTAGTTTTTCTTTTTCACTTTATGATGAGAAGCCAGAATCCTAAGCATAGATAATTTGTCCAAAGTTATTAGTGGCAGAACCAACCAATCTTACTCTCAGTTTATCATTTTGTTTTTATGGTCATACGTAGTGATAACATTGCACTTGACTTTAGATCTTCAAGGTCAGGGAACCTCTTTTTTTGTGCCTGGTCTGCAAAATGCAGTACAAGGCTCTACACTTAGCAATTATTTATTAGAAGATACCTGGACCATTTTCCAGACAAGTATGAAAACTGGTTAACATAGAGTTGATTCTGACTCTTGTCTACCTAACATGAAATCATAAACTACTTTAATCTCTTATTTTCATAGAATCTGGAGCTATTTAGAAGTGTAAGTTAATATTCTGAAGACATTGTAAATATATGAGTCTTCTATTTTTATGAGTAATTTTCTTATATTTCTGATGGACATTACATATATGCTTCTTTTACAATATCTATTTTATTGTGTAAAATCTGAGCAAAGGTTGAGAGCTGAGAAAATTTTTAAATAGTATATTCACAAGCTTTGAATTAATGTAACCAAAAAATGAATTTTTAGGGGACATTGTATATTTCTGTAGGATTCTTTTTTGTTTGTTTGCGTTATCTAGCCTTTGTGGTTGAAGCTTGGTAAATATTAAGCAGTTAGGTAATATTTAAAGTTACAGTGTTTAAGGACCTAGATCTTCATGAATCCTATGAACTACTCAGAATTATTTAATAAACATATGCAATGTTTTTGCATCCCAAATGTATGAAATATTAAAGCATTTAATTATAATTCAAATGATAACTGAATTTAGGAAGCAGTGACTTAATATTATTTTTTTTATAGGTTTAATTTGTAGATATCCTCAAGAAGATTATGAATCATTCTCACTACCAGTATCGGTTCCCCTCTTTTGTTTACCAATGGGTGCAACTATTGAATGTTGGCCACCAAATAGCAAATACCCTCTCCCTGTGTTTTCTACCTTTGTGTTAACTGGAGCTTCAGCTGAAAAGGTACTATGTGTTTAACAAAAGGCATTTACAAATTTGTGGTACATTTCCAAGTCTTTAGTTTCTTATACTGTATGGAATAGTAGGAAAAACTAGATAGTTAAGTTGAACCCATTATACTCTTCCACTTGATTAAAATAGTTATATCCAAAGACATCGGAAAAGAGAATTTTCCTTCAGTCCTATCAAGTTGCCTCTATTTTTTGGTGAGTATGGTGAAAGACTGGCTATGTTCTGTGATAAACTTTTAAAATAGTACAAAAGACTCATAGATATATATAAACAAATATATTAAATACAAAAGAACTTCAAAAATTTGTAGAAAACTTAAAAGATAATGGAATTTCTCCATGAATTTTTTAAAGCCCCCATGTATGTATATCTGACTTACATAAAACCCATAGCAAACCAACCCTATAAAGCATATTCTATTAAATATATGAGATATATACAATGATTCATAGTAACAAATGGGTACTACTTTGCAATGTACATCAAAACATTTTTATTAGTGTATTGTAATGTTAAAGATGTTTTTAGTGTATCTGGAAGAGTGTCTCTAGTGTTTTGTATGCATAGAAAGGTACACTGTATACCAAGACAAACATTTAAATAATGGACATTAGATACAAACCATACCTAACCATTCCTACTTCCATACCAATTCAATTTAAAGACAGACTTAGAAATGAAACTTGTTTGAAATGTAGAAACTACCTATAATGTATTTGGAATCATATACTGTTTAGTTTTAAGGAACCTTGTTAATCAGCTAGTCAATTCAGAGAGAAACTGAGGTACAGAGAAATTCAGTGAAATACCCAACAATGGGTTTATGTTCCTGTTGGGAGCAACTAAACCGAAGATCTAAGACTTAGGGGCAGTTTAACAAAAGGACTGCAACTAAACAGTTGGGGTCCAGAAAATCAGGCTGCTCCCAGGTCAGTCTGCCCCCTCAGGAACTTACAAAGCCTGCCTCAGGGAACAAAGAATTTGCAAAATCTTTCCTTGTATGCAGCCATGGCCTTCAGTTTAGTCTGCAAAACCATCTAGCTGCCCTATCTCTGTTTCCCTAGCAACTACATTCTTCTGATAAAGTCCCGCTTACTGCATGCATCAATAACACCAGATGTTTTTGCACTCTTTTCCCTGTCCCCAGCACCTCCTCTGATATATAATAAACATGCTGAATCAAGGTCTGAGTCTCAGTATCTCCATCAGAGTGCTGTGTCCCACCTGGTGTTAACTTCACTGTTTTCATTTTGTGTTTTGTGTCTTCCTTTTTTTCTAATCCTATAACTCCTATAATCACCCCGTGCAGGTTGCAGAGTATAGCCATTGTCAGACGTGACATATTCCTTTATCTAAACTTTGGTCCTATTTTCTACCAATTATTTTTGGTCATTTTCTGTTAGAGAATATTGCTTTCACTCTTGGTAAAATGATGCAATTTCCTTCCCCGCACCAAAAAAAAGACTTGAGAATATTGCTCTATATGATTCTTTTATACTTCCAAGTAAGCCAAATTAATGTCTGTTCACCACTGGATTCCTAATGCCTGGCTTGCAGCAATTATCCATTAAATATTTAATAGATGGTATAATTTGATGTATATTTCATTAAATGTCTTACCTGTTTTGCAGGTCTATGGTGCTGCTATTCAGTTTTATGAACCATACTCTGAGGAGAATCTCACAGAAAAACAGAGAGTTCTTTTGGGATTAGCATCATCGGCAGATGAAAAGTCTGATAGTTCCAAAAAAATTCACACTAATAAATGCATTTGTCTTCTTTCTCACTGGCCTTTTTTTGATGCATTCAGGAAGTTTCTGACTTTTCTGTATCGTTATTCCATCTCTGGACCACATGTCCTACCAATTGAGAAGTAAGTTAGATGTCATCTTGGTTTAAAATTTGGCAGATCTTTTCATTATATGGTATATATACTATTACTATTAACTGAGTAAATTTTGTGTGGAAACTGTATTTCTCAATAATTTTTTTACGTTGAATTATTTCAATCAGATAACATGTCTCCATTATACAAGAGGGCTTCACAGAGTTCATGGAAAATAGAATTAAAAGATAATGGAAGTTTTCCATGAACTTTTTGAAGCTCGCTTGTACTTTTATATCTAACAAAATGAAATAAATCTTTCATTTTTCTTTTCATAATATTGTTAGGCTTAGATAGCATGATCTGGAGAGCTATTGGAATTTCAGAATAATTTTTTTAATTCTTAGTTTTTATATAACTTGGGTTTATTATAAAATTTTAAAAAGATCTTAATGTCTTTATGCATCCTGAATTTAGAGGAAAAAATAGTTGAATACTTTTTTGCCTTTTTAATTTTATTGATATGTTGTTGTTGTTAAGTGCTGTGGAGTTGGTTCTGACTCATAGCAACCTTGTGTAGGGTTTCCAAGGAGCAGCTGGTGAGCTTGAACTGCCAACCTTGCAGTTCAAATGGCTTTGCAGTCTGACACATTAGCCCACAGCACCACACCAGAACTCCTGATTTAATATAAGGTCACTAAAATTGATTAATTATTCATGCAGTAAAACCTGACACAAATGACATCTAAATTTCTCAATTGTCTATTTGACTGTTGTTTACACCATCTATCCACTTTAGCTCCTTTGTGTCCTCAGGCAGAGTTCTCTGATTATAATGTAGTTGGGCAGTGATAGAAAAGTCATAAAAGCATTCAGTGTAAAAATTACACCAATTTAATTTGGTCTTACCCTTTTCTGTTTTCTTCTTAATATACCAACCCAACAGTTTTCATTTTTTTGTAGTCTCAGAACCTTTTTGTAGTTAAAGTCCTCCAAAAATATTTTATGTATTTATGTCAATATTTAGTTTAATGGAAATTCAAATGGAAACTTTTAAAGTATTTACTCATGCATTAAAAAAATAAACCTACTACATGTTAGCATAAATATCTTTTTTGAAAGTTAGCTATCTTCCAAAACAAAAAAGTATGTAGTCTGAAAAGTGGTGTTGTTTTACATTGTTGCAGATCTCTTTAATGTCTAGCTCAATTGCCCCACTGTTGGGTTCTCATATGTGCTTCTGAATTAAATCTGTTACAGTATACTGTTTTGGTTGACACATATGAAGAAAATCTGGCCTTGCACAGATAAATAGGTAGTAGTTCTGAAACCAAGATCATTTTGAATAATGTTTAAAAGATCAGTAAAGCAGAAATAGTTTATTATGAAAAAAGAATTGATTTTCACAATAGTTGCTTTTCTGTTCCATAATGGTTAAGAAACCTATCTTTTTATCTATGTTCTTTCTTCTGGGGAAACAATTTATACAATCAGCAGTAGAGTTTGTTTACCTGGTTTTGATAGGAAATATGCTGTTCATTTTATTGAATTAATCTAACTCTTTTTATGGCACGCTCTTAAATGATTGCTTCACTGTCAAGGATTAGTAACTAACTAAAAAGTATATGCAAGTATAAAAATTAGCTCCTTTAATACTATCCATATCTCTGACATATATTATCTACTTAGGAGAGGTTAACGTTAAAATGGCTTTTGAGATATTGATAATATTATTATTGTATGTGAGCAACTATTAATGTGAAAAGTTATAGGATTTAGTCACAAACAGTTTAGATGCGACAAATGATTTCTAATTATTTCTTACCTTGGTTTCATTATACTGGGATTTTAAAAATTATAGGTACATAAAGGCTTTTGACTCAACTTGGGCTGGTGATGACATGTTGAGCTTTTATAGCATGTGGTGTTCACTTTGGAATAAATTCGGGTTTTATTTATTTCTTTTTAAGGCATATTTCTCATTTTATGCACAAAGTTCCTTTTCCATCTCCTCAGAGACCACGGATTTTAGTTCAGGTAAGGTTTTCTTGATATGAAAGCCTTGTTGAATAATTGTTGGCTGTCAAAATTAGGTAAAAATAGTAATTAAAAAAAACTTTTTATTGTGACTTGAATAAAGGTTTACAGAGCAAAACATCAGTTTTACATTACATCAGTTTCATTACACTGATTGCTGTCCCGTCCATGTACCATCAGTTTACAATATTTGCCTCTATTTCCTTTAACTCCGGGATCCTCCCTGTGTCTCTTGCCACCTTCATCTTTCCTCTGCCAACCTCCCTCTTGTTATATTGTCTGCCCCATCACCCATGTTAAGATATGTCTACCCTCTAGCCTGTGAATAATACCTTTCCTCCCTCCCCTCACCCCCAGCCATCATATTGTTATTGTTATATGCCGTCCAGTCGGTTCTGACTCATAGAGACCGTGTACAGTGTTTCTGAGGAGTAGCTGGTGAGTTTGAACTGCTAACCATGCGTTTCAAACCGACCTTGTGATCCAGGCTTATCCTATAGCACTGCATCATCATAGAACATTTCATTTAGCAAGAAAATCTTTTCTTAACTTTTTACAACAGTGTTCTCATACATTGTTTTTTTGTGTGTGTAAAGAATAATAATTTTAAGTGGAAAAAAAGAGAAAGAGATTCTAAAGAGAACCAAATTCTATTTCATGTTGGAGTTTGAGCTCTTAGTGTTTTATTTATTAGCTCCCTCCCAGACATCTAACATTTCTGCTTTAGGAAGGAGTTAGAGAAATGAGATTTCTATCCCTAAATTTGTTGTAGATATTTGGAAGTATGTGCTTTTGGTAATCATTCAGTCAGTTAAATATATGAAAATAGATACAATGAAATGTTGCATGTTTACATATATCATAGGAAAGAATGCCCTTGTATGTGATGGGGGAACTTTAAAATAAATATGCATTATTATCCCCATCACTTTCACCAATTGAATGTATCTTTTATTTATATTTACATTTCTTTTTTGTTTTTACTTGATAATTTGTCTGGTTTTTAATCATTTTAAAGAGATTTATATATAAAGAAACATTTTCATATATTATCATTGTTGTTGTTAAGTGTCATCAAATTGGTTCCCACTCATAGTGACCCTAGGGTTTCCAAGAAATGGCTGGTGAGTTTGAACCACCGACTTTGTGGTTCAATACCAACAACCTTGCAGTCCTGAACTTACCCTACAGCTCCATACCAGCACTGCATATTATCATTATGTGTGCCTTATTGTATTTTTTACAGTCTTAATGGAGTATCATTCAGCAAATAGATATTTACAGTTTTTTGGAAATATGGATAAATTTGAAATTGTAGGTAATAATTGAATTTTTATTTTAATTCAGATATTTTAACCTGAGAAAATATCAGTTTGATGAGCTTTTTAATCAGTCAGCATATCCACATGTCATCACTTTCTTCTCACTGAACATATTTAGTACCAGAATATGTATAGCACGCTCAGTTTTGGTACATCCAAGGATTTGTTTTAGATCTGGGGTTGTTTGTTAAGTACTGTGGAGTCAATTCCAGCTCATAGCGACCCTTTACAGGGTTTCCAAAGAGCATTTGGTGAGTGTGAACCACCCACCTGGTGAGTCATAGTCCAGTGCTTATCCTACAGATGTGGGATTAGCAGACATCTTTTTGGTAGGGATCAGATAGCCAATATTTTAGTCTTTGCAAGCTATGATCTCCATCCCAACTACTCAGCTCAGCTGCTGTATCACAAAATTAGCTATAGACAATGCATAAATGAATAATCATGACAGTATTAGAGTAAAACAAGAACAGGAGGACTGCAGATTTGACCTGTGGGGCACAGGCTTGCTAACCCTGGTTTTATAACATTTAGTGACTAATATAGGAGCTCTGGTAGTGTAGTGGTTATGAATTGGGCTGCGAACCTCAAGGTCAGCGGTTCGAAACTACCAGCTGCTCTGCGGGAGAAAGATCAGGCTTTCTACTCCCGTAAAGATTTACACCCTCGGAAACCCTGTACAGGGTCGCTATGGGTCGGAACCGACTCGATGGCACTTAACAACAACAACATAGTCTTCTAATGCAAGGTTGTCTTATTGACATTCTGGAAAATGTTGAGGAACAAAAGCAAAGAAATAGAATCCAGAGCAGAAAGAATTTAGTGATTGAAAGATGTCAGTGGTCAGGATGTGTTTTTAAGGATCTCAGTAAGTGACAACATAGTAAATGGGTACAATGAAACTTCATGTGTGTCATCATTAGTCTGTAAGTTTTTACCAAAAAAGTAGTGCTTTAAAGTTTATCCTTACTTTTCAAATGCTTTATTTTCAATCTTCCAGTTGTCACCACATGATAATCTGATTCTCAGTCAGCCTGTTTCTTCGCCTCTCCCACTAAGGCAAGTAAACTGCATTTCTATTCGTGTTTCTCTAAATCTGGTGTGAGACCCAATATTTCCTAGCTAAAATTTCAAATGTTGATGGAAATACTTTTCATTTAGCCTTTTCTTGTATCTGAATTCCTTTTACTTGATATTTAGATTACAGTTTTTAATAAAAAAAAAAAAAAGAAGAAACTTTCACAGCTTCTGGGTTTTTAAAATCCATTTATTATCATATAAATACACATTTGGATTATGAAAACAAATATTTTTAGCTTTAATTATCATCTGGAAAACACTGAAATGCAATTCATTTTTAAAGAGATTGTAAGTAATAAACCATTGAATTAGAACAGTGTGTGTCATCAGCTTAAAAATTAAGAGAAATTATAAAACATGACTTTTTAATGATATCTTTTATTGAAATTCAATTAGGTATATAATTTTTCTATCAGATTACAATGTAATTAAGTTGTTATGTAGCACATACCTTAGGGAGGCGAGTTGCCATCTTTGACATGAGTTTTGTAAGAATTGAAAATTATTTCATCAGTAGGCCTTTTTACGGAGTAACCTTTGTTTTCTTAACCTTTGTTTTGTCCCCAAATAATCTAGAAATACTGGTTGAAACTATGTAAGTTGTTGTTAAGTATCATCAAGTTGGTTCCAACTCACAGTGACCCTTACATAAGGGTTTCCAAGGAGCAGCTTATGAATTTGGACTGCCGACCTTGCAGTTCAAACCGATCACAAAATGTCACAAAAGACTGTATGATCTAAATTTCCCAAGAGGCTTTGTGTGTGTGTGTGTGTGTGTGTGTGTGTGTGAGAGAGAGAGAGAGAGAGAGAGAGACAGCTTTATTGAGCTAGAATTCACCTACCCTACAAAGGTGTTTCGTGTATTCAGAGTTGCAGCTACACAACAATCAGTTTGAGAAATTTTTCATCACTCCCTAAAGAACTTCATCCCCTCCGCTTCATTTCCTCTCCACTCCGGCCGCAGCCCTAGGCAACCACTGAGCTGCTTTTTGTCTCTATGCATTTGGCTATTATGGACATTTCATATAAATGTAATACAATATGCGGCCTTTGTGTCTGTCATCTTTCAGTAAGCATAATGTTTCTAAGATTCATCATGTCATAGCATTTATCAATACTTTATTCATTTTAGTACCAAATAATATGACATTATATGTATGTAGTACATTTTACCTATCCATACATCACTTAATGGACATTTAAGTTGTTTTTACTTTTCAGCTGCTATGAATAATGCTGCCATGAGCATGCATACATTTTTTGTGGCACTGTAGGATAAGTGCTTGACTGTCAACTTCAAAGCTGAAGGTTCAAACCCACCAGCTGCATCTCTGAAACCTTATACAAGGTTGCTATGAGTCAGAACTGACTCAACAGCACTTAACAACAACAGTGTTTCCATTTTGCAGAGGTATTTTGTTACTAACTTTGCTTTGTTAAAGATTTCTACTTGAGTAATAACAGTTGTTTAGCATTATGTAGACAAAATACTGATTGGCTTGCTGAATTATTTACTTTTTCCAAGCCAATATTTTGTGACCATAGAGAAGAACTAAGTTAATTGTTTGGGGTATTAATTTGCTTTGTGTATGTGTCTCTTCATTTTGGAGCGCTGAAGGTTAACTGCAGATTTCCCCCGCTATCCAAAAGTAGAGTGCTCCTGTGGAATCTCTCATGAGCTGAAAATTGAATAAAGTGAAGAGGCAATTACTATTAATTTATATGAGTAAAAATTTTGAGAATTCCCAGACCCAAAGAGTAATCTACCTAATTATACCAAGTAACACATAAAACATAAACTGACACTGGCATATAGGAAAAGCAGGGATTGATAGGATAAATACAAAGCCTATGTAACGTAGAAATCATGTATGTACACTGTTGTTCCTGGGGAAGGAGCTGTGCCTCTCATGCTGCTCTGGGTACATGCTGCCTATTTAACAGCTTGCTGCAAAACAAACATTAACTGCTAGTTTCACTTTTGGTCTTTTTCTGTAAAAGTAAAAGCCTTCTTTGCATTTCTTTCGGTTAGCGAAACCTATACTAACATAGGTCTTTCATAAAAGTGAAGTGGTGTAAATCAAATTTTCGAACAGTGGTGATACCTTAAATTATTTACAGGTATCTTCAGTAGCCAACAAAAATGTTTCTTTCATGAATTGAATTCTTTATTTGAACATTATCTTCATTGCAGATCTTTTTATATAAAAATAAAGCAAATTGCTCTTCATCTTTCATATTGAATACAATGCAGAAAAATCAAATGATTTTGAACCTCATTACATTGTTTTCATAGTGTGTTTCCTTACATAAGAGATGCAGTAGTGTTTAAAACTGCATAGATAATAGAAATTATACCTGAATCATTTACTTATTTTCATTATTTTAGATAATAAGGTGTTTGGATATTTCTTTTTCAAACTTATACTCATAAATGTATTTGTTTGGGTTGACAGTGGTGGCAAGTTTTCAGCACTACTTCAGAACTTAGGCCCTGAAAATGCTGTGACATTACTGGTGTTTGCTGTAACAGAACATAAAATTCTCATTCATTCCTTACGGCCTTCTGTGCTTACTAGTGTGACAGAAGCATTAGTGTCTGTGAGTATCATAGTTTCTTATTGGTAATCAGTTTAGTTTTGAGGCTAATACAATCGTATAATGTGATTTTAATCTAAAATGCAGGGAATAATGGATTTTTATATTGTAGAAGCAACTCTGATTTCCTGACAATTGATTGACTGTAGTTAAAATTATCTAATTTATTATCAAACTTTAGGTACATGCATTTAAAAGATAATTTTGTATCCTTTTAATTTATACTTCAGTATAAAAAAGCTAAATATTCTCTTATCTTTTGTTTATCCAAGATGATTTTCCCTTTTCACTGGCCATGCCCATATGTTCCTCTCTGCCCACTGGCTTTAGCAGATGTCTTGAGTGCTCCATGTCCATTCATAGTAGGGATTGATTCAAGATACTTTGATCTCTATGATCCTCCACCAGATGTTAGTTGTGTTGACCTAGATACCAACACCATTTCTCAGTAAGTACATTTTAGTAATTCCATACCTAGTTAATTTATATCTTCATGGATTATGTATGAAAATGTATGAATGCTCATTAGAATTGCTTTGAGATCTAATGTTTTCCTTGCAATTGTGGTTATTGTCATCTCTGAATCAGCTCTTACAGTGCTTTGGTGAGATATATTTAGGGAATTGTTGTTGTTAAGTGCTGATGAGTCCATTCTGACTCATAGCATCCTGCATATGGCATCTGAGCAGTAACTGGTGTGTTTGAACCATTGACCTATATTTAGGGTATTAGAGAAGGTTTTATTGGGAAATAAATATGCCTTTAATCTTTAGATCTTTGCATTTTAAGAAACATTTTCATCTTATGCTTGCTTAGAAATTTGTTGTTGTTAAGTGCCATTGACTTGGTTCAACTCGTAGCGACTCTTAAGGTTTCCAAGGAGCAACTGGAGGGTTTAAAAACTGCAGACTTTATGGTTCGTAGTCCAGTGTTGGTTCTCCAGTGCCATAGCCGGCATCAGAAATTTAGCAGAAAGGAAATTAAGACTGAAAATAGTAAATGTTTATTTCTCTTTAGTCAGATGAGTGTGGGTAAAATCACAAATTAAATTTAAAATACTGTTCCTTGATTAATACTGCAATTCTGTTTCTAGTCCTATATAATATTATTAGTATGCTAATACCAATGATTTCATAGGTAAGTTAATGTAATAATGTTACATTTTTAGTAACTTTAAATTGTATATAATGTATCACCTTTAATTTTAGGAATATAAGGATTTCATAAGTTTTTTTTCTCTTTCTATTGGAAGCTATAGCTATAGGAGCTATATTTTACTTTATAATTCAGTATTTCCCATGTGATTTTCCTGAAAAAGTTTCTTATTTTCAGTGTAATTGTACTTAAGTTATTCATTAAAAAAATTTTTTATATCTCCATAGGACATTCTTAAAATAACTGCAGTTTATTAGTAAAGTCTAAATGCTAGTATAGTTTTTACAAGTTAAATATATAAGTGTGAATAGATTTGCCTGTTTTTTAATAAGTGCAATTCATTTTAGAGCCTTTGATTAAATTCTAGTCTTTGTTTTGTCATATGTCAAAACCTAAAGTGCCTAAACCATTACAAAAGCTTAGCAAAAAAATCAATGTTCTATTATAAAGAATGTATGATGTCAAAAAACTTTTATTCATGGAAAACCTTACCAAGGAAATAAAGAGTGTAATTTGTACATAAAAGTAATTTTATATATGAAGTAGTTATAGTCAAAGATTCTTTACTAGGAAAAATTAATTCTTTATCAGGAACATTTTTTTTCTTTTAATATTGAAGTCATATATCTTTTTCTTTGCAGTTATGTTACAGATACAATATTTTTGAAAATTGAAATCAAGGATATTAAATAAATATATACTGTTCTATAAGTTTGTAATGAGTTGAAATTGACTCAATGGCAGTAAGTGGTGCTTATTATGGAAATAAATTGCAATTTTTTTTCTTTTTGTACTTTGATTTGCAAAAAGAAGTATTTTCTTCTTGCTATTTTATCTTGTTGCTTTTATCACTCATGCATTTAAGAATCAGAAACCACATTTGTATTCCTTTCTCCTTGGTATAATCTCACCCGTCTGCGTGGCGCTGTGGGTTAATCCACTGGACTGCAAAGTCCGTTTGAACCATGAGGTCAGTGGTACAAGCTCACCAGCCACTCCTTGGAAACGCTATTCAGGGTCGCTATGGGTCAGAACCAACTTGATGGCACTTAACAACAAACCTATGGATGTGCCTCCTGTTTTACTCCATTGCAGAAGAGTATAGCTATTGAGGATATCTGTCCCTGGTGGTGTGATGGGTTACATGTTGGGCATTTAACCATAAGGTCAGCATTTTGAATTCACCAGTAACTTAAAGGGAGAAAGACAAGGCTTTCGGCTCCCATAGAGGTTTACAGCCTTGGAAAAACTAAACAAGGTCACTGTGAGTCAGAACCATCTTGAGTGCACACAACAGCAACATCCATGACTCAGTGTCCTGGTGTGGCACTGTAGGATAAACAGTGGACTGCTAACTGCAAGGTTGGCAGTTCATATCTACTAACTGATCCTTGGAATCCTTCAGAACCAACTCAAGAGCACTTAAGGACTACAACAGCTGTCCTCGTTTCACCTTTGTAGTTTAAATGTGTTGAGATCAAATGACTTGTTGGAGTCCTGATGTGGTGTTATAAGATAATTACTGGACTGTGAACCAAGTCTAGTTCTGTAGAGTTGAAATACAACTCATAGCAACCCTGTAGAACAGTATATAACTGCTCAGAGGATTTCCATTATATAATTGTTGCTGCTGATGTTAATGCCGTCGAGTCGGTTTCGATTCATAGTGATCCTGTATAGGACTTCTGAGGCTGGTGAGTCTGAACTGCTGACCTTGTGGTAAGCAGTCCAGTGCTTATCCTACCCAGTAATTAAAGACAGAAGTATTAGTTGTGGAGCCAGACAGTGTTGGTTTCAAAACCCACTTCTAGCCTGTAAGTTATGTATTCATTGATAATTTATTTAAAAATCAAAGTTTTGGTTTTCTGTCAGATGTTGACAGTAACTACCTCACAAAGTATGAAAAATATGCAGCTTGTATGGCTTTATGACTAAGGTGAGCCTGACTCAAACCATGGTATCTTCAGTAATCTCAAATGCATGTGAAAGTTGGACAGTGAATAAGGAAGACTGTAAAAGAATTGATGGATTTGAGTTACGGTTTTGGAGGAGAATATTAAAAATACCATGGACTGCCAAAGAACAAACCAATCTGTGTTGGAAGTATAGCCAGAATGCTTCTTGGAAGCCAGGATGGCCAGACTTCTTCTCTCATTCTTTTAATATATTATCAGGAGGGACCATCCCTGGGGAAGGATATCATGTTTGGTAAAGTGGAGGGTCAGAGAAAAAGAGCAAGACCCCCAGTGAGATGGATTGGCACTGTGGCAGCAGCAATATGCTCAAAGTTAGCAACAATGGTGAGGTTGGCACAGAACCGGACAGTGTTTCATTCTGTTGTGCATAGGGTTGCTATGAGTCAGTACCAACTCGATAACACCTAACAACAACAGCAACAATATGCCACTGTAATATTTGTCTTCTCTTAACTGAAATATTTTATTTTGTATTCGGTGTTTTCATTTTCCCTTTTCATATGTAGCAGGTATACAATTTTTCCCTAAAAGTCCAGCTAATAAATATACTCTTGTTATCTCAGAACTGGAGACAAGAAAAGTGCAGCCTGGAAGATCCTTCCGAAGAAGCCATGTAAAAATCTGATGAACACACTGAATAATTTGCACCAGCAATTGGCAAAATGTAAGTGGAGAACTTATTTAAAGGAGATAATTTAATATGAAAAGGAATTTCAGTTACCCTGTCTTAGTTGTAAAAGAAGAATGTTTGTTTTATATAAATGAAGTGTTTTTACTGTCTTAAAGGTAAGTGAGCATTAAAGCAAGATTTGTTAGAAGCTAATGAGAGATTCACATTCATTTATATTTTACAACTACCATATTTTCATAGAACCATTTCCAACTTGTTTAGAATAATAATGTTTAATAAAAGGATGTTAAGATGGTTACTTTCTTTAATTTTGCCATTACTTAAATACTAGGAAAAATGAATATTTCCACTTGTATATTTCTTTCAGGGAGTCCTGGTGTGATGCTGTAGGATCAATACTGAACTGTTAGCCTTAAGATTTGCAGTTTAAACTTACCAGCCACTTCTCATAAACACTATACAGAGTTGCTATAAGTCAAAACCACTTGACAGTATTTTACAATAACACCAACATTTCTTTCATTCAAAGAGTAGAAAGTTTGTTTTGAAAATCTAAGACAAATGGTTTAAACTGTATTGGAAAATATTTATTGAGGCCTGGTGTGGCATTATGGGTTAATGCACCAGACTGCAAAGCCGTTTGAACTGCAAAGTCGGCAGTTAAAGCTCACCAGCTGCTCCTTGGAAACCCTGTGCAGGGTCACTATGGGTCAGAACCTACTCAAAGGCACTTACTTAACAACAATTGATATCATAAGATAAATAGGGTGAGAGCTAGGTCATATGCATTTCACTTTTAGTGGATCTTAGTGCTGTGCTGACCTCAAATTATTTGAAAATAGAGACTTGCCAGAAGCATTAGGAAATTAGTCATAATGAAAATTGATTAGGGTTTGAAATGTTTCAGTGAAAAGCTTTTATAAGATTTTGTCTTGACATCAATCCAGAATTGCTGATAAGAAGAATTAAACCTTAATTTCTTTATCAAATCATCTTGGTATTATAACAACAACCAATTCACAGTCCGTAACTTAATACTCCTGTTAGAAATATGGGTATTAGTAATGTAACAATATATGGGGTTCTTATTTTTGTATTAGTTGAAATATAAAACAGAGGTAGCCTACATACTCAAGGTACATATAAAATAATTTTAAATAGACATGGAGAAAAAAGTAGCGTTAAAGCAAACCTGATAGTGGTGGTTATGATAACAGGTAAATAATTTGAAAGTAGGTTATAAGAAATGGAATTTGAAATTAAAATGGTTTCATATGTAACAGTTTGATCTTTTGTAACACATACACTATGTACATAATTTTATTTAAGATACCTGGTTAATTGCTTCCTAAAAGTGCTTGCATTTCTTTTGAATACCTAAGACATCTAACATCTGTTAAAGCAATCTTTTAAATATCAGAATCAGTGGCATAGTCAAGGACAGAATCTTTTGTGTGTGCATGTGTGTGTGAGTTGGTTGAAAGTTTACTGTATAAATCCATTTTTCATTCAACAATTCATTACACATTTTATTTTGTGACATTGATTGCAGTCTCCACAATGGAACAATGGAACGGCACTCTTCCCATTTGTGTTTACCATTTTGGTTTTCTTTCCTATTCTTTCTTTTTTCTTATTCATGTTTTATTGTGAATTATATGATATTTTACATGAGAGAACTTTAGTTTTACATTCATTCCACCATATATCGTTTCATTGCCATGGTTCCAATCCCCTCCATGAATCATCAACCGACCAAAGGGTATACCCTATAAACCCGCCCCCTACACTCCCCTCCCCACCCCAATTCTTCAGCACACAGTCCCTCTCCTTCTCTGGATCCAAAGTCCCCAGCCGCTTCATCACTCCACGTCATTGTCTCTGCCTCTATCTTAGGCCTCTCACTGCTTCTCTGGGTAGGGTCCCGCTTTCGGCTCTTTTCCGGTGATGGTCCTAGACACCTCTGCTCCTAGACTGGAGAGTTAATCTCTCCCTTCCTTGCTACAAAACATCTACCTTTACATTTCCAACCCTCACAATCAGTCCTGATAACAATCATTCACTATTGTATCACAAGTGATCCTTATGCATTTCATTTCATCAGCTCCGCCTAGACATACTAGATAGTACTCACTGGAGATTCTGCCTTCCTCCATGCCCCCTAGCTCTAGGTTCCCTCCTGAAAGCTTGTAAGCCAATCACTTCTTGCCTTTGTAGTCCCCCCCTGCCCCCATTTGGGTATCCAATGTCCAAGTTGCCCATCCCTGTCTACTCTGTGTGGAGGGGGTGGGAATGTTTCTTGCTATAAGGATTTGTTCCCCCTTTTGGGTTACTGCATCATCCATAGATGTAGGTCAAGTTCATCAGATTGTATCAGATCACTCTTTTTCTTTTCCTCTTCTTTCTTCTCCTGGTTGAGTTCTGATCATCCATTCATTGGGGCCAGTTCACGTGGGTACCATCTGCAAGTGTGGGTGTTCTTGTGCGTATGCCCTCTCTTCCTATCAGCTGGTAGCTTTACTCTCCACTCTAGTCCTCTATGGCCACGCCACTGACTCTGGGCCCAGGAGTCCCCAGGTTCCTATTCTTTCTTGCTTTGGGAGCTTTACCCCTTTTAATGTTACCAAATGTTACCCTTTTAATCTAGTATGGTTGATTGGTTATAATGAGTGCATACCATCCTAGTTTAAGTTCACCTGATAGGCCTATCTATCACTTGAGCCATGGGGATGAGTTCACTTTCAGGCTTGAAGTGTGCCCGAGGGCCATACTCTTAGTGGTTCCACAGTCGCTATCAGATCAGTACCCACAGTGCCCCCAGAGCTCCTTTAGCAAATTAGTAAGCCTGGTGTGTTTATTTTTTTTTATAATTTTGAGTTTTGTTTCATGCTTTTTCCCATTCGACCCAGGACCTACTGTTGTGATGCCTGTTTGAGCAGGTATGCAGTGGCAATTCCATCTAGTTCTGGTCTCATGGCTATAAAGACTGGAATTCATGTGGTGGCACTATGGGTTAAAACACAGAGCCATAGGGTCAGTTTGAACCTCAAGGTCAGCTGTTCAAATTCACCAGCCGCTCCGTGGAAACCCTATACAGGGTCACTGTGAGTGGGAACCGACTTAATGGCACTCAGCAACAACAACATTAGTACTTTGGAGTCCTGGTGTGGTGCTGCAGGATAATGCAGTGGACTCCAAGGTCAGTTTGAACCACAAGGTCATCACTTCAAACCCACCAGCTACTCTTCGGAAACCATAGACAAGATTACCATGAGTCGGATATGGCTCAAATTCATTAACAACCACAACAACAGGGTCACAACACAGTGAGTGGGAACCGACTTAATGGCACTCAGCAACAACAACATTAGTACTTTAGAGTTCTGGTATGGCACTGTAGAATAATCACTGGATTGTAAGGTCAGTTTAAACCTCAAGATCAATGGTTCAAACCCACCAGCTTCTCCTCGGAAACCCTATGTAGGATCGCTAGGAGTTGGAACTGACTGGACAGCACTCAACAAGAGCATTAGTCCTTTGGACTAATTGTTTCCTTGTAGCTGATTTTTTTCACTCCTTGTTCCAACAGGGAGAGACAAAATAGTTGAATCTTAGATAGCTGTTCACAAACTTTTAAGACACTAGTTGCTACTCACCAAAGTAAAATGTACAACATTGTCTTTGTGGATTATGTATGTCAGTTGACCTTAATGTCTCCTGAAGCTATGGCTCTGAGCTTCCAGGCCCAGCAACCCATACCCTTAAGATGTTTGGTTATGCTTAAGAAGTTTTCAAGCCTGGTTCAGATGAGGACATGAAACGAGGTATATCGATGTTGACATTAGATTGATTTTTGGCAGAAAGCAGAAAATACCACACATTTACCTGTGCTTTTTTGACTACAGAAAGGCTTTTGACTATGTGGATCATGGCAAGCTGTGGACAACACTGGAGAGAATGAGTATTCCAGAGCACTTAAGACTCATGAATAATATACATATAAACCAAAATGCAGTTGTTGGAACAGAACAAAGAGACACTGAATGGTTTAAAATCAGGAAAGATGTATGCCAGGGTTGTATTCTCTCACCATATGTATTCAGTCTGTATACTGAGCAAATAATTTGAGAAGCTGGATTATATGAAGAAGAACTTGGCATCAGGATTGGGGGAAGACTCATTAATAACCTGTGATATGCAGATAATGCAATGTTGCTTGCTGAAAGCAAAAAGGACTCAAAATATTTGTTGATAAAGATCAAAGACCACAGCCTTCAATATGTACATAAAACAAAAATCCTTATCACTGGAGCAATAATGTCATGATAAATGTAGAAAAGATTGACGTTATCAAAGACTTCATTTTACTTGTCTCCAACATCAACACTCATGGAAGCATCAGTCAAGAAATCAAACAGCATATTGTCTTAGGCAAATCAGCACAAGATGTCTTAAAAGTGTTGAAGAGCAAAGGTGTCAGTTTTAGAACTAAATTGCACCTTACCCAAGCAATGGTATTTCCAGTAGCTTCATAAGCATGTGAGAGTTGGACAGTGAATAAGGAAGGCCTTAGAAAAATTAATGAATTTAAGTTATGGTGTTGAAGGAGAGAGAATATTAAAGGTACCATGGACTGCCAGAAAAACAAACAAATCTATGTTGGAACTGGAATGCTACTTAGAAGTCAAGATGACCAGACTTTATCACTCATTGTTCGGACATATTTTCAGGAGGAACCAATCCCTGAAGAAGGACATTATGCTTGATAAGGTGGAAAAACAGTGTAAAAGAGGGAGACCCTCAACGAGATGGATTGACACGTTGGCAGCAACAATGGGCTCAAGCATAGCAGCAGGAGGGTACAGGACTAAGTGGTATTTCGTTCTGTTGTACATAGGGTCACTGTGGGTTGAAACCAACTCAGCGGGACCTAACATCAAGAAGTTTTTAGAACTTTGCATCCAGGGCTGATTCTTCAAGCTTGAAACTTCAGAGACTTAAATAATACTAATGATTAAAGATTGTACAAGTTTCAGAGCTCTTCACATACATTCTTACTTTTACCTTATGTATCAGGATGTTGAGGTAGATGGCAGGAAGTTGAGGTGGATGAAGTAGTTTACCAAAGGTCTTATAGTTCACACTGATGACGCTAGAATTAAAACCTAGACTTTCTGGTTCCAATGCCAATGTTCTCTCCAGTGCTTTATATTTTTATAACCAGGAACTAAAAAAAAAAACCCTCTAAGATGATTAATAATTCTGTTTTTTAAAATACTGAAGCAATCAACCATCTCCTACATAAAACCGTGAAACTTGGGAAATTGGCAATAATATATTTACAGCCTTCCTAATCCTCAGATAACACTCAAGTTTTGTCATTTATTTTAATCATACCTTTGTTGCAAAAGGATCCATTTCCAAATCAGGTGTTATATTTAGTACAGTTCCTCAGTTTTCCTTTTCTTGACCCTTGATACTTATGAAGATTACACTTCACAACATGGAATGGTTCATGATTTTGGTTTGTCTGAGCTTCCTCATAATAGAAACAGATCATGGAGTTTGGGCAGGAGTAGCCCAGAAGTCATGGTGTATTCTCTCACTGCATCCCTTTCAGGTGGTGCACTGTTTCAGTTTGTCCTGTTATTGATAAGGATGTTCACTTTGACCGCTTGACTAAAGTGATGTCTGTTTGGATTCTCTTATGTAACGTTACTCTCTGATATGTAATTAGGCATTTTACTGATGTATTTTTAAACTGTCTACAAACTCATTTCTCATCAGACTTTGAATTTAGTCATTTTGTTATTGAATATTTGTATGGCCTCATTGTTTCTGGTTTTATTCAATGAGTTATATAATCTATTATTTATTTTGATCCTCAAATTTCCCTCCTCCTTTGGCTCTGATAACCCCACACCAGGCCACTCCTCTGCATGGATTCTCTTGGCTCTGACTCACCATGCCTAGACAAACTTCCTCTCTCACCCTATTTGAGATCCGTACCTTCCTTAGGCCAATGCAACTCCCTACCCCCTATTACATATGCTTTCTTTGCTCTGCCCTATAAATAAAATGGTAGGCTTTGCTAGTTGTTTTTGTTTTTTGTTTTTTTCCTGTTAAGTGCCCTCAAGTTAGTTTCAACTTATAGTATAGGGTTTCTGAGGCTTTTAAATCTTTGAGAGAGCAGAAGGCCTCATGTTTCTCCTACAGCATGACTGGCAGGTTCGCAGTCCAGTGCTTTTATGCTAGGATTTGTATATTATGAAGTTATATACATATACGTGAAGATTTAAGGTAGATTAAGCTCTTTTGAGAACACAGCAAATTTATTTTGGTAACATAGAAATTAGTTTTGATAGTTCGGAAAAAGGCTAACACTTTATTTCTCCACAGTGCAGCAGAGACCTCAAGATGATGGACTAATGGACTTAGCTATGAATGACTATGATTTTAATTCTGGAAAGAGGTTGCACATGATAGATTTGGAAATCCAAGAGGCATTTTTGTGTTTCATGGCCTCTATTTTAAAAGGTTATAGATCATACTTAAGACCAATAACACAAGCCCCATCTGAGACAGCCACAGATGCAGCCTCTCTGTTTGCCCTACAAGGTAAGTAAGTGCATAGTTTTACAGCTTCTATATTATTGAACTTAACCTCTCGATGATTCATTTATTCTATGGGTTAATAGCATTTATCAAAATACATGTATATTTCATGGGTATATGAGTACCTGTTCTGTTGGTAATCCATTTTGATAGGATTCATTTTTTTTCTCAGACATATTAAATATCACTCCATTAACAAAATAAGCTGAAGAAACTATGTATTTAAAAGTACCCATCATGTACCTTTGCATCATGTATGCTGAGATTAGCTGTGATGGGAGACTGATGCCCTGAGCTTTCAGGGCAGCCAGGCAGTGATGGGTTGTGGAGGTGCCCTAGGGATGGTCACATCTAGTCTTGAACAGCCTCATTTGTTTATTTCAGTATAGTTTACAAATACTATTTTCTGTCAAAGTCATGAAATAAAAAAGGTTGGGAAGCACTGGGGTGCAATTTTTGTTGTTGTTAAGTGCCATCAAGTCAGTACCGACTCATAGCGACCCTATGCACAACAGAATGAAACACTGCCCAATCCTGGGCCAACCTCACAATTGTTGCCACGCTTCAACCCATTGATGCTGCCACTTTGCCAGTTCATCTCGCTCAGGGAGGTCTTCCTCTTTTTCTCTGACCCTCCACCTTACCAAACATGATATCCTTTTCCAGTGATTGGTCCCTCCTGACGATATATCCGAGAGATGAAGTTTGGCCATCCTGGCCTCCAAGGAGCACTCTGGCTGCACTTCTAACACACATCTGTTTGTTCTTTTGAAAGGCATCAATTCTCCTATGGTCTTCCTTATTCACTGTCCAGCTTTCGCATGTATATGAGGTTATTAAAAATACCATGGCTTGGGTCAGGCGCACCTTAGTCCTCAAGCTGACATCTCTGCTCTTCAGTACTTTAAAAAGGTCTTGTGCAGCAGATTT